CGAAGTCGGATGCCTAACCGACTGAGCCACCCAGGCGCCCCAGGCTCTGCATTCTTAGCACAGAGCCAGACTGGGGGGTTTCAAACTCAGAAACCGTGAGTTCATGACCTGAGCTGAAAAGTCAGATGCTTAACTGACCAAGCCACCCAGGCACCCCTGTGCTATTTTTGAAACTTCTATGCAAATGTTAAATTATTTCAAAATAAAGTGTTTTTTTTTTTTTTTAATCCAGGGGAGGAAATCCTTGTGGACTGGCCATCTTAGATCTTAGGCTCTACAATATTTACTTAATGGCTAAAATTGAAAAGACTGCCAATACCAAGTGTTGGCAAGGATGTGGCACAATGGGAGCTCTCATTAATTGCTGGTGACTATGTAAATTGATAGAATCACTTTGGGAAAATGGTTTGGTAATAACTGCTAATGTTGAATGCGTGTATATCACATGAAGCAGCTATTCCATTCCTAGGTGTATCGCAATTTATATATAAATCAAAAGCAGGTAAAATTAAAATATGAAGTTAGAAATGGTTACCTAGTGGGGAAAGGAGGGATTAATGGCTGTGATGGGACATGAGGGTTTCTGGCGGTTTTAACAATGTTCTATTTCTTGACCTGGATGATGATCACATGGGTATTAATTTTGTAATGATTAATTGGCCTATATCTCTATTTTGTGCACTTTTTCTGTTTGTCTTTTATACTTCAAAATGGGAAAAAAGTGAAAAAAAAGAACAAGAAATGTAGAGAGAACCTAAATGACTTAAACATCCTTTCTAAGTTTATTAATTCAAAATATGGCCAAGTCATCAGGTCAGATGGAGCTACAGTCTCCATCTCAAAGGTGGATGGGACACTGAGGGTGGGACAGAGAGAGTTGCATCCTGGGATATAGGAAGAGTAAACTAAAGAAAGCTTCACCTGATCTCTCTCTGCATGTCTTAAAGCTCATTTTCCTTGACTTATTGCCTAGGTATTCCAGACAGCTCGTCTCCTGAGTATTCCAACTTTTATTTGGTAATATTATTTGTAGCCACATTATAATGTGTATCTGCCCACCTGGCTGTCCCAACTTTCTAAATTTATCTCAACATCCTAAATCTACCTATAAAAAATAGCCTCTAATTTTTTATTATGGAAAATAAATTTTACAAAATAAAGGAATAGTGAGCTGTATACTCAACGATTTGCCTCATTCTGAATTGTCTTAAGGTGTTTGCTGATGATATATATGGCAAATATTTACACAGCAATGATTAGTATCCAGATCCTTCTCCTTTTCACTTAACCTTGTTTTCCTACACATATTTTGACTAAGTTCACCTATTTGCCATCATTGATATCTACAAGGTATTCCATCTTAATTATCTGTTGAGCCTTCTTTGACTTAACTGGTTCTAATGTTCTCAGAAAACACAATTCCTCCGTATCTGTCTCTCATGGGTCAGTTTGGACCATTTGTTTCACTTCTGCCTCTTCATCAAAGTGGCAACCCCCCTATTTTCACCAGCCATGTCAAAAGAGGCTGGTGTCAGGTTGGAAGGTGTGATCCCTCCCAAGTAATTTCTTACCGGGTTACACACTGATCTTTTACCCTTGTTTCTTCTTCTGCTGTTCATCTGTACAAGACCCATTTCATTCTGTCATTATATCTAACAACTATTTCATGGGTCAGTGGCTGAAAGTGAAGATACGATAGCCTGTGAACTCCAGGCTATGAATCATGGTGGAAAGCAAACTACATTCTATGCCTCCTCCTCTCAGTACAAGAGTCTACAGTCAAGGGTGGGGAAGAGAAAGAGGCAGTACTATGTATTCTTCAAAACACTGAATGGGAATAGATGTTGTTGAATGTGTTTTGCAGTCTGAATTGGATAGTGTCAGATGATGAGGCTCTGGGAACATAGCTAGACTTTCAAATTGTCTTTTGCAAAAAAAAAATCCCTTCTAAAATATTTTTTACAATATGTGGTGTTTTTCCAGGAACACATCTTTACTTAATAAAAGCCGATCTGTAGCGTCAACATCTTTGGCGCCTACTGTATGCACGGTCTTGTTCTCATCGCCAACCGCATGCCCACCAGAGGGCGCTCGTTCCCCGTCTATCCAGCCTTCAGCGACTCCGAAAGTCTAAATTAAACTTGACTTTCACACACAGGAAGTCTTTCACATTTAATCCCCAAATATTTACCAAGAATTTACTGTGCTGCTAGGCGCAGGGCTAGGTGCACAAGATACAGTGAAGAGTCAGACACGATTCCTAATGTCAAACGCTTAGAGCATAGCAAATACTGAAAGCAAACAACCGGCTACAGTAAAGTGGGGTAAGTGAAGGGTTTGTAGGTCCGGGGAGTTTGCTGTTTAAATACTGGCTCCAAGTCTTAGAAGCCGGTAACAATTCATTTTGAGATCCCCGACTGCTTCCCCTCTGTATACTGGGAGTGATCACCCTCAAGGCATTTTGTAATTCAGAGTCAGACTTCCCTGAGTGGCTCCATTAGTCAGTTCCGCAATTTCAAGTCCCTTCCTACCCACTCTCCTGTTTTTCTCAGGACTTCCTGCAGTTTTCTTATAGTTCACATCTGCCCCAGGTCAACATTTCAGTTGACCCCAGGGCAAAAGACTGGGGATTACCCACAAATATCTGCCATCGCCGGCCCCGCCCATTCTTTTTCCGGTTTAAAACCCGCGGGCCTTTCCTGCTCCGAATTCCTAGGCTTCCTGTTCAGGTTCTCGCGATGGTTGTGAGATCTCGCGCGAAGTTTGCTCCCTGTCCCTCCGGAGTTTGGGGAACACGGTGACTGTGTATCTGTTTTCGCCCACCTCATCAGAGCCTCCTCTGGCCAGGAGTGACGTGCACGCGGCTAGGGAACCCCTAAGTGGAAGGGCTTGTCCAAGTTGAGGTCCGGACTGACAGTCCTAGACCGCATCAGGGGGTTGGACTCTCCAGGCCTCCAGTACGCATGCGGAGCGGATCCCCCTGGGCGGTCGGCACGCTGCCGCCAGCCCTGAAGCTCGAGGTTAGTCAGGAGGCCTCGGAGGCCGGTAGGCTGGGGGCCAGGTCCTTCTGGCCCGAGACTGACTAAATACTGTCACCTCCCTCGCTGCAAAGCGCAGTTTTCGCCCCCCACACACTGAACTGCTGCGCGGCTTCTGTAAGCCGCTAGGGGCAGGCTAGGGCGGGGCCTGGCCGACCCCCTGTAAGGCGGGCGGGCCTCCAGGAACGCTCTCCTCCCCGCCCCCAGCCCAAAGTGCCACGGTGGCGCTGGTGGCGGCCGCGAAACCAAATGCCTCCGGCCCTGCCGGCCTTGGAACTAACTATAACCTATAATCCCGACCCGGAGCGAGGTCCGCGGGGGAGGCGCCCCGCCCACCTCTCCCTGCGGCTGCTAGTCGGCTGGGACCTCTAATCTCCAGGCTCATCCGCGGGCTGAGGCACCTGCCGGATGTGGGGAGGGAGGACGAGGCCAGATGTGGTGAGGCAGATGTAAGCACCGAATCTCTGACCGGCGCCCTAGTGGGGAAGCTGGGTGGACGAGACTGCAGTAGTCCCTGGGAAGCCAGCCCTGGGCTGCGGGGAGACTACATTGGTTGGCTCTGCCCTCCAGGAGCCAAGGCACCAGAGCTCCTACCGCCTCCGCGTTATGCAGCTGCTCTAGCAGACCCCGGGGACTGTAGAGTAGGATGGGACAAGACTTAGACCTTCACTCGGCTCTTTCGAGCTTCCCAGCAACCCCCATAGCCCCTACTCCCAACCCCCCACCCCATCCTGCCCCTTGTCTTCTCCCAGCTTCGGTGTCCGGTTACGATTCCTCACTTCTCACTGTGACTTTGGCCCAGCTAGGGGAAGTGGCCCAGGAGGGTCCTGTGCGGCTGCATAAAATTGGCAGCTTCAAAACTGGAGGGAGGGGGTTGTGTGCGACGTCGAGAGGCGGGGAGAGGGGGCGGAGGAGTTGCTCTCCGAGTCCAAGCCCTTGGGCTCTCTCAGAGATCCTCAAGCCGCAGCAGAGGTGGCTGGCAGGCCCAGCCTTTTGTTGGCCTCTGCTTCTTTCCACTGCCTGCTTTTTCGGACCGGAATCACGGCTGCTCTGAAGGGCTTAGTCCTAGACAGTAGGTGAGCACTCTGGGCCCCAGGGCATCTACTCTTTCCGCTTTTCCTCCCTTGTTAACAACTCCTTAGCTCTGGGGCCATCCATTCCCATCTACCTCTAGGACAGGAAGCTTCAGAGTTGGATGGTCTGTGGTGCTGCTGCTGCTGTGTGTGTGTGTGTGTGTGTGTGTGTGTGTGTGTGTGCGCGCGCGTGTATGCTGGCGCCTGAGTTTTACCATCCTTTCCTCTCATCTGTCCCCAACCCCAGAAACCCGGTCCGATCAATAACTGGATGACTCCTAGAGAGTCACTATGCTTCTGTGTTGAGGGTCTCCTTGACTCCAAGGCAGCAGGGAAGGGGGCAGTGCGTGGGTCAAACTTTGGTACAAGTAACAGTGAGGTTGCTTCTGACCTCCTGACCTGGCTTCCCTCCCTGGCAGGGTGCCACGAACGCGCTGATGCCCAGAGCGCTCGCAGGGCTTCCAGCTAACCATGCCACGGCCGCCGGCAGCTGCCCTGGCGCTGCCCTCGCTACTGCTACTGCTGGTGGTGCGGACGCCGCCCCCGACAGGCGCGCGACCGTCCCCACGCCCCGATTACCTGCGGCGCGGCTGGCTGCGGCTGCTGGCGGAGGGCGAGGGCTGCGCTCCCTGCCGGCCAGAAGAGTGCGCCGCGCCACGGGGCTGCCTGGCCGGCCGGGTGCGCGACGCGTGCGGCTGCTGCTGGGAATGCGCCAACCTCGAGGGCCAGCTCTGCGACCTGGACCCCAGCGCCCACTTCTACGGGCTCTGCGGCGAGCAGCTTGAGTGCCGGTTGGACGCAGGCGGCGACCTGAGCCGCGGGGAGGTGCCGGAGCCGCTGTGCGCCTGCCGCTCGCAGCGCCCGCTCTGCGGATCCGACGGCCGCACCTACGCTCAGATCTGCCGGCTGCAGGAGGCGGCCCGCGCTCGGCCCGACGCTAACCTCACTGTGGCGCACCCGGGGCCCTGCGAATCGGGTACGCACGGCCCGGGGTCCCTACCCCTGGCGCTCGGGGCGCTCGAGGCACTGATCCCCGACCTCCGACTGAATTGGTCTCTGGCCAGCGGAGCGAAAAAGATGAGGCAGGGGAGTGCTCGACTTCAGTATAAGAGCCCGCGCTCGCTGCTGGTCCGCAGAGACCGCTGCCCTAAGGTGCGGTCCGAGCTTTGTCAGCAAGCTGTGTGCCCTGAGGCGCGTGAAAGCTCCTGACCCGGCCGGCGGGACGGACCCCTCTGAGGGAGCAGGCACAGAGCCAATGATTGGTCTCCCAAAAGGGAGAGAGTGAAGAGACTCCCAGGCTTTGCCCAGACCTCTGGAGCCCAGGCAACGCGATTTGGGTTCCAGTGAGATGAAATCAGGTTTCACTTGGGCGGATTCGGATTCGCAGAGCAAGCTGTTAGCCCAGTCTCCCGCCTCCCTTCTCTTTCTTCTGGGCCTCGGGAGTAGTGAAGGAGGGGGCTCTTCCAGCTCCTCCCTCCGATCCCGGGTGGGGGTGGTGGTGGTGGTGGTGCTGAGGGCCATTCAAGCCTCAGGTTTCCTTTGGCAGCTTTAGTAACTTTCGCTTCCTGAGCCCCTTTGAGGGATCTGGCCTGGCCGTGGCTGCTTGGAAAACAAACACCGGCAGGGTCCCAACACTTTACCCCGCAACTTCAGGCTTTCTGCCTGCTGCCCAGATCTGGTTTCAGGTTCTCTGCCTTTCCCACGTGGGAATCCCCCCCTCTCTCGCCCCCTTCCCTGGTCCCAGGGTGGGGGGTAGGGGGAGGGCCGCTCTTCTGGTCTTTGGCAACTGGACTGGTTAGGAAAGGGGGAGGGTAGGGGGAGGTGTCAGTTACAAGTATAGCAGGACAGGGGCCTAGAGGGTGGAATGAGGACAGGGGAGCAATCAGGGACAGAGTGTGGCTGCCAAGCTGAGGTGTGGACCTGTGTGCTCGTTCGTGCATCCTGTTGCATGTGCCTCGCCACTTCTGGGTTTGTACCTGTGTGTACCCGCACCTACATTTGTATGTACCTGTGTGTACATGTCATGTCTTGCTTATGGAATGGATGTGTATCTACCTGAGCGTCTGTTGTGTTTCCCCGCAAACACATCCATGAGGGTTCATACATGGGCTTCTTGCTGGGCGAGATGTGCCACCCTGTTCTCAGGCCTTCCGCCTCCACCCCTAGAGCCCCAGATCGTGTTGCACCCATATGACATTTGGAACGTGACGGGACAGGATGTGATCTTTGGCTGTGAGGTGTTTGCCTACCCCATGGCATCCATCGAGTGGAGGAAGGACGGCTTGGACATTCAGCTGCCAGGGGATGATCCCCACATCTCAGTGCAGGTAGGATAGGGAGCAGAGGCCTCCCCTGGGCAGCCCAGGGTCCCCCTAGAAGGATCTTGCTGACCCTTTCTCTGGCTCCAGTTCAGGGGTGGACCCCAGAGGTTTGAAGTGACAGGCTGGCTGCAGATCCAAGCTGTGCGTCCCAGCGATGAGGGTATCTACCGCTGCCTGGCCCGCAATGCTCTCGGCCAGGTTGAGGCCCCAGCTAGCCTGACGGTGCTCACGCCGGGTAAGGGGGAGCCCTGGGCTCCGGGGACTGGGGGGACTGGTGGTGGATTCAGGACCTCACACGTGCGCGCGCGCGTGCGTGTGTGCGCGCATATGGGCGCACATGCAAGTATGGCTTTCTCACAGTCTGGGACACGTGGGTACCGACGGCCCCTCTTTCCCGTTCTCTCTCCTTTGCCCACATGTGTTTGCAGACCAGCTGAACTCTACAGGCATCCCCCAGCTGCCATCCCTACATCTGGTTCCTGAGGAGGAGGCTGAGAGTGAAGAGGGCGAGGATTACTACTAGGTCCGGAGCTCTGGCCTATGGGGGTGGGTGAGTGGGGACAGTATTCATCCCTGCTCTTGAAAAGACCTGAAAGGGGGAGCGGGGGCCTTTAATCACTTTAATGCCCTTAATAGGGGAGTCGTGGTAGTAGTAAGTAGGAAGACAAAGTTGGAGGATAAGGAGAGAGGCAGAGACTAGGGGTGGTGGGATGCTAAGAGGCCCATGGAGGAAGTGCCCTGGCCAGGACAGTCTCCAGCGGGGACCAACCAGGCAGAAGACAGCAGCTGCCTGCTGGTCCCTAGGCTGGGTGGAGGTGTGGGGGCACGTGAAGAGTGGGCACAAGGAGGCAACCAAGGTCCTCCATTTCTTTCTGAGACCCCTCCCTCCAGCCCTGCTCAGCCAGTCTTTCTAATTACCCTTCACCACAGCTCCGGCTGTTATTTTTCTAGTCCCTAACCTTTGCCTAGCCTCAGTTTACCCTTCCTCAAAACTCACCTTCTAGAAATTTCCCCCCTCACCTAAGTCCCAGTTGCACTTACTAACTGCAGTCCTCTTTGCTGTTGGCCATCTGTTGTCTAGAAAAGCATAATGGAGCATGGTTTAGTCCAGGGCGGTAAAATGGGCATTTGGTCATGACCGGCTTCTGTCATTCTGGAAACCCCACAAGGCCAGCACCATATCTTATAGCACTCTGTATTGGACAGTGCCTAGCACAGGACTAGGCACAGTAGGCACGCAATAAAGGATTTATGAACAAACCGAGTCACACGGATGCACAGATGGTTCATGCAGATGTGCACATGAAGACCACATTTCCTTGGGAGGCATCCAAAAGCTGTGGGTCCCACTCCCTAAGCACACGCCTGCCAGATGTACGGAGGGGAAGCTTGAGCTGGGGCCTCCCTTGCCCTCTAGGGAGGAAGGCTGAAGCCATCTGGTTGGAGGGAGGGTATCTTCCCAGTCTGGTCTCCATTTGTGCTGGACTAGAGTTAGAGTGCCTGCCCCCTCTGTTCAGCCCACTCTGGTCCCCTCCCTAGGCAGAGTGGCGAACCAGGTCTATGTGGGTAGGGCCCCAGTGTAAAAGCACAAGCTGGATGAGGGAGGGGAGATGCTTGGCCACCAGTATGGACCAAGCCCTAGGATTCCCCTAGGAATCCACCCATTTCCTTGTTGAAACCAGACAGAAGTCAGGTAAGCCTGTTTCCTCATCTACCAACTGTGACCTGTCCTGTCTGGCTGAGGGTCCCTCACAGAGCCACGTTTTTTTCCCTCCCCACATCTCTCTTCACACTCTCCTTACCTAGCCAAGGGGCACTGGTGAGGCACAGTGTTTATTGAGTGATTGAAGCAGAAAATGAAAACTTAAGTTCGGGAGGCCTAGACCCTGTGTATGGATGGCGACAGTCTCCTGCGCGCCTGGGCTCCGCCTAGAGCCTGGCGCCACCACCGGAGAGATTGCAGTTGGCTCAATGTCTGAGCTTGTCCTTTGGGGCCCGAAGCAGGGAGCCCGGGCTCTTGGGAGGGGCGTGGTCAGGAATCCCAATCCGAGGGTTTGGCGGTGCCTCCCGCGGAACCGCAGGGCTCCTCCAGAGGCTAAGCCAGAGGACAGCTCTCATGGCCTAGTCCCGTCTAGAGCCCGGCGGCCCCAGAAACTGCGCTCCACGGCACGAGCGGGTTGGATACTTGAGGCGAATTCCAAGGCGACCGCGGAAGCAGGAGTAGGGATGTGAGCAGTGTGCCAGGGATAGAGGGGTCGTGTTGTCTGGCGTCCGGAACAGAAGGTGGTGTGCTCTGGATTGAAAGAGGGGACGTGGTCAGTGTTCTGTGGAAGCCTGGGAATCCTTCCCAGGCTAGTTCTTCGAAGGGGACTCCGGTGCAGCTGTGCTCGAAGGCGCCCCCTGGCGGGCCCATCGATCCTACCGCGCCCACCTGCAGAGCAGAGGCTCCACCCGACCCAACCAGGGTCACACGCACCCCCCGGAATCCGTACTCCTTGTTTGCTCATGCAGACTTTGTAGAGTATTCGCGTGCAGCCTCCTTACAGCCTCAGTTTCCCCCCTCCGCAGCCCTGCTGGTTTAGGCCCCGCAGCCTGGAATAGAAGGAATCCCTGCTGCTCTACCCCCCCACCCCCACCCCCTCCCCTCCTCTGCTC